TTTTTCKGTGTACTTATCRTATTTGTCTACAAAATGCTTGTGCGGTGGTCACGCTGGTTGATCTTTCTCGGGATGTTCGATCATCGTACGAGCGGGAACACTCTAAGTATCTACGGCAGAAGGCCCAGTTGGCCGAGTTTCAGGCTACTAGGGAGCGGTCAGCCGCGCTGGAGAGGGAGGTGGCCAAGCTAAAGGCGTAACTGGCTGAGCAGGTTGGTCTTGTCCGGGAGCTGAAGCGGAAGATCGCCGAGCTCAAGGTTGAGCGGGACAGGCTAAGGCAGGAGGCTGCTGAGGAAGCCATCAATGAGTACAAGGCATCGAAGGAGATGCAGTTGCACATGGACGAGTATGTTGAGGCCTCCTTTGCGGATGGGTTCAACCTTTTCTGACGAAGGATCCTTCGCCGTCACCCGGAGTTAGTCGTTGAGTCGCAAGGCTGGGACGCCTTTGATCCAAATTCTCCACAAGGGTCCACTGAGGGAGCTGAGGATGAGGCCGAAGTTGCTATTGGTGCTACTAATTTTGCCGCCGAGGACTGATTGGTGGCCTCCTATGTTCATTATTTCCTGTGTTTGTTTTTTTGTGTTGGCTCGGTATGCCGAGCCTTAAACGATGTAATAGACCATCTTAAGTTGAATATCAACTCTTCTTCATGTTGACTATGTATATGCCTCTTGTTGGTGTTGCTATACTTGTGCATGTGCATTTTTTTTTAGTCGAAGCATGCCCGGCCAGGATATTACATGTACCAAGCCGAGCTACGCCTCGGCATCTTGTTACTTGTACTATTTTTCTTTCGCTGGCCTGGGTGAGGCTAGCCGGGCTACTATGTGGGTCGAGCCAGGCTGTGCATCGAGCGTCCTCTTTGTACTTCGCGATTCTAGTCCACTAGCCGAGGTATAGTCGATGACGTATGGTTGGCCAAGGCATGGCCGACCGGGATAATCCCCGACGTCCCCTGTCTTGCGCTGACTGAGGTTACCGTTGGCCAAGGTATAGCCGGCCGAGCTATGCCTTGGCGTCTCCAATCTTGTGCTGACCGAGGTGTAGTCGGCCGAGCTATGCCTCGGCGTCCCCAGTCCTATGCTGACCGAGGTGTAGTCGGCCGGGCCTATGCCTCGGCGTCCCCAGTCCTGTGATGATCGTGGTGTCGTTGTCCGAGATCTTTCAATTTCCGAGCTCTCAGCCATAAGACGCTCAGTTTCTAGTCTCAGGAGCCTTTGGGGCCCTTCTAGGGCTAGCCGGCGGGAGTGCGGAGTTCCTCGACCGCCCTCAGGCCTTGGTGGGCGGGGGCGTTCTTCCTCCACGTTTAGGCTCAACCGTTGGCAGCTGAGTCAAGTAGCTTGCTTGGCAATGTGTTGTCGAGCTGGGCGTAATGGGCTCGGCCGTTTGGGGATCGGCGAAGTCAGCTCAGTTGGCAGCGTGACTTAGCATGTGTATGTGTAGTGCACGCGGTGGACGTGGGCGCGCCTCTAGGTCGAAGAAGTAGCTTAAAAGGAGACTTTCATTGCTTGTGGGTCTATTGGTAGTACATCCTGAGGTTTCCCGAGTTCCAACTCCTCGGAATTTGTCGACCTTCGAGATCTTCAAGTCTATAAGCACTTGGTCTGAGGACTCTAGTGACCCTATACGGCCCTTCACAGTTTGGTCCGAGCTTTCCTTCTCCTGGTGTGGGTACAATGACTTTGCGCAGAACGAAGTCGCCTGTCTTTATTTGCATCTTCTAACCTTAGAATCATAATGTCGTGCCATCTTTTGTTGTTGTGCAACCATCTTCACATGTGCTCGGCCCCGAGCTTCTTCTACCAAGTCCAACTCTGTGCGTAGATCTTCGTCATTCTGTCCCTCATCAAAGAGCTTGATCCGAAGGCTTGGAGAACCTATCTCCACGGAGATCATGGCTTYGGTCTTGTAGGTCAGACTGAAAGGGGTCTCTCTAGTGGCAGCTCGCGGTGTCATCCTGTAAGCCTAGAGAGTTCTCGGCAACTCCTCAACCCATCTTCTCTTGGCCTGATCCAGGCATGTTTTCAGGCCATGTAGTAGGATGCGGTTGGTTACCTCGATCTGACCATTGCTCTGAGGTCGGTTTACCGCGGTAGTCCGGTGATCGATCCTAAGGTCGGCACAGAGGGCCTCAAACTTCTTGTTGGTGAACTGTGTTCCATTGTCTGTGATGAGCACGCACGGGATACTGAAACGGCAGATGATTCCCTACCAAAGGAAGTCCCGGGCATTGTGGGTGGTGAAGTAGTCCACTGCTACGAGAAGGAACTTCTGCGCGACCGTAGTGGGGAAGGGGCCGAGGATGTCCATTCCCCATTGGTCAAACGGCCATGGGCTGGCGATCGGTCTCAAAGGGGCCGCAAGCTAGTGATGTTGGCAACTATCGCACTTCTGGACTAACTAGGTGGCATCCTACTTCATCATCAGCTAGAAATACTCCTATCGAAGCGCCTTATGGGCTAGTGTGCATGCGCCGGGGTGATTTCCGCAAATGCCCTCATGTATTTCCCTAAGGACGTAGTCTGCCTCGGCTGGGGGGAGGCACCTCAAGTAGGGAAGCATGTAGGAACGGCGGTAGAGTTGACCATGTATCAGGCAATACCTGGCTGCTCTGTGTTGGAGTCTTCTTGCTTCTACCCGATCCTACGGGGAGGTTCCCTCTCGAAGATACTCGATTATGGGGTCCATCCAAGATGAGCCATGTTGCACTGGAAGGATGAGGACGGCTGATGGTGCGATGCTCGGCTGGGCCAGCGTGTCTAGCTGGACGGTTCAGTCAAGGTCGGTTTGTGGCAAGCTGGTGAGCTTTGAAAGGGCATTGGCTCGAGCGTTCTCAGCTCGAGGGATCTGCTAGATGTCGAAGTGCTCGAGCAGCTGAATGAGCTCTTGCACCTTCTGTAGGTAACTCTCCATAGAGGGAGTTTGAGCCTCAAATTCGCCATGGATTTGGTTGACCACGAGCTGAGAGTCGCTGAACGCCTTGATCTGTCATGCCCCAAGGTCTAAAGCAAGGCGGAGCCTAGCAATCAGAGCCTCATACTCAGCCTCATTGTTGGATGCTTTGAACTCGAACCTAAGGGCGTGTTCCAACACTACGTCATCTGGGTCGAGGAGGATAAGGTCGGTGCCACTGCCCTGCTGGTTCGATGAGCCATCAACATGGAGGGTCCATGTTGGGGGCAGTGGGGCCGGTTCCTCCACGGTAAATGTATATTTTCCAATGGAATATGCCAAAGCCTGAGCTTTAATCGTCGACCGGGGTGCGTACTTGATGTTGAATTCACTCAACTCCACTCTCCACTTGACTTGGCGGCCTGACACCTCCAGTCTCTGTAGCACTTGCTTAAGGGGATGGCTGGTGAGTACTCGAATGTTGTGGGCCTAGAAGTAGGGTCTGAGTTTTTTGGCTGCGATGATGAGGGCTAGAGCCAACTTTTCAAGATTTGAGTATCGAGTCTCTGTGTCGTTGAGGACCTTGCTGGTGTAGTAGATCGGCCTCTGTACTCGCTCCTCTTCTTTGACAAATACTAAGCTGACGACCTCATCCCCGGCAGAAAGGTAGAGCAATAGCTTGTCTCCTGGGCTTGGCTTAGTCAAGAGGGGCGGCAAGCTCAGGTACTGCTTTAGTTCCTGGAAAGACTGCTCACACTTTTCTGTCCAATGAAAGTCTTTTGGCCGTTTGAGTGCTTTGAAAAAGGAAAGGCACTGGACTGCGGACTTGGACATAAACCTGCCAAGGGCGGCTATTCTTCCGGTGAGCCATTACACTTCTTTGTGGGTCCGGGGGGATGTCATGTCAAAAATGGCTTTTATCTTCTCCGGATTTGCTTTGATTCCTTTATGTGTTACTATAAACCCTAGAAACTTGCCGGAGCCAACCCCGAAGGCACACTTGGTCRGGTTTAACTTCATCTTGTACTTTCTAAGTGTGTCGAAAACTTTGCGGAGATTGGCCAGGTGGTGTTCGGCCTTTTTTCTCTTCACGAGCATATCATCGACATACGCTTCCACGTTACTACCGAGCTGCTCTTTGAATACCTCGTTCACCAGTCGCTGATAGGTAGCATCGACGTTTTTGAGGCCAAAGGGCATTACCTTGTATCAGTACAGGTTGTAGTCAGTATAAAGTCCGTTCGCTCTTGGTCGTCCGGGTCCATCCGGATCTGGTTGTAGCCTGAGAAGGCGTCCATGAAGCTTACGAGCTCATGTCCTGCTGTTGCGTCAACGAGTTGGTCGATCCAAGGAAAGGAAAAGTTGTCTTTGGGATAGGCCTTATTTAAGTCGGTGAAGTCGATGCAGATTCTCCACTTTCCGTTGGCATTTTTCACCATCACTATGTTGGCCAGCCAATCGGGGCATTTGACTTCCCTAATGAAGCCGGCATCGAGCAACTTTCATACTTCCTCAGCGATCACTTGTCACCGCTCTGTGGCGAAGTTTCTCTTCTTCTACTTCACAGGTCGGTAACGGGGGTCGACGTTCAGCCGATGTGTGATGACTTCAGGATCAATTCCAAGCATGTCCTCTGCCGACCAAGCAAATACGTCAGCATTATTCCTCAGTAGTCGAACAAGTTCCTCTCGGAGGTGGTCGCCTAGCAGGGAACCAACTTGGACCGTCTTTTTGGGGTCTTCCTCAAATTGGGGGACCTGGACGAGGTCTTCCACGGGTCAGCTGCATTGTACCTTTACTTTGTCACGCAGGTCATATGCTTCCACCATCAATGTCTCGGTCGCTAGACGTGGTCCTTGGTCAGATAACTGATAGCAATGTCGCGTTGTTTTCTGGTCCCCGCACGCCACCCCTATGCCATACTTGGTTGGAAATTTCATGGCGAGGTGGTATGTTGAGACTACGGTCTACAGGGCGTTGAGAGTCGGCCTGCCGAGGATCACGTTGTAAGAGGAGGGGCAGCGCACCACAATGAAGTCTACCATGTCTGTTGTAGTCACGTCGTCGTCTCCGATCAAGAGGGGAAGAGTTATCCTCCTAGTGGGCTAGAGGGACTCTCTCGAAAATCCCATCAAGGGAGTGCTAACTGGTGCAAGCCGCTCTCTGGCAATGCCGAGCTTTTCGAATGCATCTTCAAACAATACGTCGGCAGAACTCCCTGTGTCGATTAGGATTCGTCGTAGCTCAAAGTTGGCCACTTCGGTTGTGACGACCAAGGCGTTGTCTTGTGGTGTCTGGACCCCTCGGAGGTCGTCGTCAATGAAGGTAATAGATGTGCCACGCCTCTTCCCGTGACCTCGATCGTCGATCTTGTATAGCCGAGCATATCTTTTCCATCCCAAGCTGCTTTCTCCTCCGGAGGTGGTTCCTCTCGATATCACATGGATGACACTGATTGAAGGGCCTCGGGGCAGAGGCTGTTGAGCTTCATCTGCTCTTCTTTTCTCTTGGGCTGACTTCTCCGTTCTATCTACGAAACCGCTAAGATAACCGCACCTAATTAGATCTTCGATATGGTTGCGCATGTCGAAATAGTTCTCCGTATCGTGGTCATGGTCCTTGTGGAACTCGCAATATTTGTCTCGGTTTCTCTTGTTACTTTGCGTCTTCATCTTCTTGGGCCACCTGACATAGTTGCGGCTGCGGATTTGCATTAGAACTTCAGACTGCRGAACATTAAGTGGCCTGAAATTCCAATAGGTCGGCAGAGGGGTGCGAGGTCTATGGTCGGTYCGGCGATCTTGCCTCTTGTGGTCTTTGTCCGACCTCTCGGGCTTTCGTTTGTCGTTCTCTCTCCTTTTTCTGTCGGGCTTCTCATCTTCATTTCTGAACTGCGCCTTGGCCTCTTTAGCATTGATATGCTTATGCGCGTGGCTCATTAGCGCGGCCAACGTTTGAGGAGGATTCTTGGAGATGGAGAAGTTGAACAGGGAAGGGTGGAGACCGTGTTGTATGGCCATCACCGCGACTGATTGATTTAAGTCCCTGACTTGAAGTGCTTCTTTGTTGAACCTCGTCAGGTCGTCTCTAAGGGACTTTGCCTTTCTCTGTCGAACCTGCATAAGGCTGGCCGAGGTTTTCCAATGCTTCTGGCTAGTTGTGGACTGTGCCAGGAACTGGGTCTCCATTTGGGCCGATGACGCTATAGACCTCGGCGGCAGGGAGGAGTACCATGCCAAGGCTGGGCCTTGCAACATGGTTACAAGGGCTTTGCACATCAGCCCCTCCAACGCACCATGTAGCATCATCTAGGCTTTGAGCGTCGCGACATGGTCGAAAGGGTCAGAGTTCCCATCATACTTGTCGAATTGGGGGGCTCGCCATCCGATAGGAGGTACCTCATCCACTATGTCCTGGATGAAGGGTGGCTCCTTGGTGATATGCGTGGTGACTTGCACAAGTTGGTTTATGGTGGGAATTGCACTCTTATGGGTGGAAGTGCGCTCTAACTCTTCCAGACGTTGCCGGAGCTCTTTAATTTCGGCATCTCTGTTGTCTGGGGCTGCAGTGTGTATGGCATCACTTTTGGGTCGTGTGGGGTGATCCTTGACTGAGCTTGACTCGGCGACTAAGACTACGAAGGGCGGCGTCCTTTTGTCGAGCCTTTCTTTGGCGGGGATGCGCGCTGACTGGTATGTCTGGTTATGGTAGTCCCATCCTCGAGAACGGGCGGTGGCGGCGGGCCTTCGGGTCGTGTCTTGCCTCATATGCTTGGACCGCTCTCCCCTTGCGTCTGACCGGCGCGCTTTGGGTTCCTCGGTCCGAGGATCGTCCTTCGTGCACGTCGGGGCATGAGGGGGGTCAGCCCGGTTGGGTGGCGCGGCAAACCCTAGTGTTTGCATGAATTCGAATATCTTATCAACCTTTTCCTGCATGGCTCGGAATTGCACTGGATCTACTGCGGCCAAAGGTTGCGGGACTTCTTGGTTCTCCTGAGATGGGGAATGGTCAGTTGCTCGTTCAAACTGGTTTTTAGGCATCTTAGTCGCTTCCTTAATTGCGCGGCGGAGAATGAGATTTTCGAGAAAGGCTTTCTGTGTCGTTCCCATAGACGGTTCCAATCTGATGTTACTCAATCCGAGGTGGTGCACGAACTGAGGAGAGCAACCAGATAGTCCTTGTTGGCAAGGCGGGGCCGAGCTACAAGGACGAGGCCGCGCTTCAAGACCTGTGATCAAGGAAACATAAGTTAGAGGCCCGAGGAGTTATCCCCAGGTAAGAACTCCGACGCTCAAGTYAGTGGGAGGTGGTAGGATGGTCGGGCTGAGCTATAAGGATGTCGGTCCGAGCTAAGTAGCGGTCTAGGTCTCARAAGTTGGATCCCTTACCTCGAGCATGGAGTACCTTTTTATAGCCGATGATTCGCGTCCTGGTCAGATTGGGCTTCCGGGGTTGTCGGGATGAAGTTAACYGCCGAGGTATTCGGAATAGAGTCCCATTACCCTGCGGAGTCGTCTTCCTTATCCCTCTTTATCCGTAGTTGTTCTCATCCATATGATGTGTAGTTGACATGGCTGAAAGGATAAGATGGGGTGCCACAGTAATAGCGTAGCTTGGCCGAGCTAGCCCGTCGTGGCCGAGTTAGGATGACATGAAAGGGCAATAGTTGGGCGGCCATGTGCCTCGCAAGGTCAGCTCAGCCATGACCCAAACATATATATATCAATAAAACAAGGAAGTGAATAATTTCTCTTCTTTTTTGAAATTTTTAATTTTTTAATCCACATTTTTTTTGGTATCTAACCAATCAAACTTCTCACGTCCAAACTCAATAGTGAATCAAACTTTTATATTTCTCTTTGTTGGCTACGTCTGATGGCCTTTCGAGTCATGCTAAACTAGCTATATCGCATTGGATGCCTACATTCTATGAACTCTTCTAAATTTTTCACGTCCAAACCCAATAGCGAATCAAATTTTTATGTTTCTCTTAGTTGGCCACATCTGATGCCTTTCCTAAATTTCTCACGTCCAAACCCAATAGCGAAACCAGGTTGACTTACTTTCTTTTCATTTCCAACTCTTCTTTTTCATTGCTTTGGACCAAAAGTAGAAGCAATTCACTTGTGATGAAAACATAGGTGGAACTGTTTTGTTTTGGACAGAAAAAAGGGACAAACTACTCTATTTTATCGCCCAGAAAGGTAAAATCGCCTTCTTGTCTTCTATCTTTCTCTATTACCAATCCACATTAAATATCTTTGATTTTTGACTAAAAACAGAGGTAGAAACACACAGTTTTGGCTGAAGAGCATCAGGCGTGAATAATCACTCTTTTTCTTGAATCTGGGTATTTTTCTCCATCTTATTGAATTTAATGTACAGTTTGAACACTATATGTGTGTATATGAATAAAACAAAAAAAAAAGGGAAAAATCGCTGTTAAAATTAACTGTCGGGTAAAGAAGATGAATAAAAACGGGTTGGCATCGACCCATTTTCATTTTTTGGCAGGTTATATGTTGGGTTTTGTACCCAGTTCATTATATACATCGTTGTACACATTATATACATCTACAACGTTATTACACGTTATAATTTTGAACAATCACTATTTCTCTTGAATCCAGGTATTTTTCTCTATCTTATTGAATTTAATGTACAGTTCGAACACTATATGTGTGTTTAGGAATAAAACAAAAAAAAAAACAAAAGGGAAAATCGTTGTTAAAATTAGCAGTCGAGTAAAGAAGATGAATAAAAACGGGTTGGCATCGACCCATTTTCATTTTTTCTTGGCGGGTTACACACTGGGTTTTGTAYCCAGTTCATAATATACACCGTTGTACACATTATATACATATACAAGGTTATTAGACGTTATAATTTTATTATTTTAATAATAATAAACAATGATAATTATTATCGGATCTTTTTCCAATGAAGAATTATTATTGGGTTACACGCCGGGTTTTGTACCTGCTTCAATATATACACCATGTTATACACGTATAATTCTACCAATAAAAATGTTATATGCTATAACATTTTGCAAGGTTATTACACGTGTATTACACTTACAAGGTTATTACATGTGTATAACAGTTTGCAAGGTTATTATTTTATTTCATGTTTAGATTTATAAATTAAATATAAATTTCAATTTTATATTTTAAGTTTATAAATTACATATTTAAAATTATAAATATAAACATTTATATTTCAACTATATTTTAACTTCCTCTAAATGGAATTAAATATAATAAACTTAAAATGCATTTCACGTTTATATTTATATTTTATGTTCGTATAAATAAAATTTATATTATATTTGATACTGTAACTAATATAACCAAATTTTATACTATGATTAATAGTGGCCTATATTTAAATTAAGTTTTCAATTTGAATCATATATTTAAATATAATTTAAGCTATTAATAACAGAAATTTACATTTAAGACAAAATTATCCAAAAAATAAATTACCATTATTTCGAATAAATATGGTAGATTACCGAAATTCAACATAAATAACCATTAATTTTTGAATTATTGTTAAATTATTCTATACTTGTTTTAACAATTAAATTTTATTTAATTGTAATTATATTTAAACTATAATTAGCATTAACTATACTGATAAATATATTTAAATATAATTGAAGTTATAAATAAATTAATGGTTATCAACGATAAGAAGAAAAAGTAACAAAAATTGTCACAATTAGTWGAAAAATTAACAAAAACTAACAAAATGTCACAATTAGTAGAAAAATTAACAAAAACTAACAAAATGTCACAATTGTCACATTTAGCAGTAACATATTAACAAAAATTGTCACAATTAGTATTCAAATTACATTTAATTACCAAAAATATATTACCAATATTTCTGAAAATATGACAATTTTTATAAATTAATGGAAATACCATAAAATTACAAATAATTAACAAATTTGTCACAATTACTGAAAATTATCCAAAAATGTTTCCAAAAACTATGATTAAGAGTAATTATATTTAAATTAGAAAATTACATTTTAAATACCAAAAAATGTCATAAATTATTAAAAATTACCAAAAATATCATAGATTAGTAGAAAATTACATTTAATTACCAAAAGTATATTATCGATATTTTTGAAAATATGACAATTTTTTATAAATTAATGGAAATACCATAAATTGTATGGACAATGTATCATTGAAGCATATTATTTTTGTATAATAATATGTTTACTATTATTTATTTTTATTATTTTGCTTTTCTTAACAAATCCTGTGTATCGCATGGGTCCCTGCTAGTTATACCTTAAGGGTGATCTAATTCAATCTGTTTAAGATACCACTACAGTATAAAAGATGTACTTGATTTATGTGCAACTATAAAACTAAAATCATCCTTATCACATCATATATTTTGATCTCTACATCCCTTTATCTCTACATGCAAGTGTCGAGTCAATAATTCTTTTCAAGACCGCTCAAAAGCTAATGAACAAGGATTAATTGGGGAGGGGGCAAATGCTTATAAACATGGATAGGGGGTTACAATATAAGTAGGATTTACATGGGGATTGTGGGAATTTTAAGGCATAGGGGGCCATGGCTCCTCTTTGCCACCCTTGGCTCCACCCTTGTCTACATGCACAAGTACCTAGCACTTGCCCTTAATTATTATTGTTTGATTAAATATATAAATACCCCTATTTTATCCCATATTTTCCAATTTAATTCCGTTTAATGGCTTGTTCTTTTTTTCCAAGTTAGAGAGGGGGAAGATTAGTCAATGAGATTTTAGTTCTTATTAACAAAGATACCCATGCTTTGTTTTTCATATTTATGTGGGGTCCATGGGAAATTTATTTCCCCTTCCCACCTGGGGGAAGTTGCCAACACTTCGGTGAGACAAAATTACCCCTTTTAATAATAGATTTTTATGGCTAAAATAGTCATTATCATATTTGTTTGGAAAATAAAATAACATGAATAAATGCACTTACCAAAGTAAGCATTCCCTAGGAAACATTTACCCATGTAAGTAACTTGCTACAAACATGGATACCAACAAGACGGGTTTGGCATGAATTTGCTTCTAGTCTTCTACCATAACTTGACCCTCCAATGCTTCTACTTGTATTTGATTAAAAAAAATCCACAACTTCATCCCACCCTATAGCTTGACCTACAAATCACTGATTACTACTTTTTTTTAACATGTGTGTGATTGTTCTTTCTTTTCATTATCAATTACTAATTAGTCTTTAATTACACCTTTTTTTATAATACATTTTGAAAAGGGAAAATTTCTTAAAGTACTCTTATGGTTTAGGAAATTGACTAACTCTACCCTTATTGTTGACATGTCTTAAAGTACCCTTAAGTTTTTTGACAATTGTCTAAAACTTCCCCTATTGTTAAATGTCCATCACACTCTGTTTATATGCGACATCACGTGACTGATATATTTTTTTAATTCCTAAAATACCCTTTATGGGTATAACACAACAACATTAGGTCTCTACAAATCCCGGTGGGAGAAAATTGACAGGTTCCAGCAAGGATTTGGTGGACACCCAAATCCAAATGACATCTAAGCATTCCAAGCCATTTCTCTAATCTTGGTATGGAGGAGGGGATTTGAGAGCGACCTCCATGGTGTATCTATCTTTTCGCTTATAGGGCTTTGAGAGAAATGCTTGAGATGGAATAACTATAATTTTTTTCCAACTTTCTCCTCTAAATTGTTATTCTTTGTGGTCGAATTTAAATTCCCAAGTGTTTATTTCTTTCGGTTTTTGTGTCTTTTTCTTTGGGTGCGAGCATTTTTGGCGATCACATTTGTGTTTGTAATAGTGGTGGATTTGTCTTTCTTGTAGTCTTTTTTTTCCCAAGTGCTAGAGTTTATACAAATGTGAATTTCCTACGTGGTCTTAAAAGCTTTTGTTTTCTCTACTTGGGAGATAAATCCTTTTTTCTATGACTTTTTATTGTTTTAAGGAGACTGAAGTTTAGTTTCCAAAATGGAGCTCAGTTAGCTTTGACTCTTGCATTTGGTCATATTATCTTATACCTTCAAAACGAGTGAAAAATTTGACCTTTAGTTCATAATTCAGATTCTTAAGAGTTTTCTTTTATTTGGTCCCAAGTGGCGTTCTAGGTGCCTTTTAAGAATTAGTTCAGATTCTTAAGAGCTTCCTTTTCATTTGGTCCCAAATGGCATTATAGGTGCCTTCTGGGAATTAATAAATTATTGGGGACATTTGGCAAGTCTTTTTGTGAAGATCTTTTGGTAGCTCTAACAGTTAAAAGACATGTTGAGCTTTTGCATGAAGATCTGAAACAGCCCAAAGCTAGTTTGGATACCACACATCTTTCCGCATGAGAATAAAGTGAGAAAGATACAAAAAGCTCAATTTGGAGCTTCCCGAAATCAGCCCAAAATGGGCTTCTCGTGTCTTTTCGGTGCACCGACTTTTGGCGACTAGATCTGTTGCGAATCAAATGGAAAAGACTGCAACATAGTCTACACGACTTGTAAATAGCCAAAAGRCTGTGCGGAAAGATGCTCCAAACGGGGCCTTTATTAATAAATTATGTCTCATTTGTTCTTTGCCTCTTTGGCGGGGCATAACTATAATTCGAGTCTCCGCCATTTTTCCATTAGGGTTTGAATTAAAACTCGACGGAGAGTTCACAACAGTAGAAGTAGATGCCCTCGAAATCCACTCTTGGCGAATAGTATGAGCATGAATTTGCAAAAATTGCAGAACTCTATTGCGGTTACTTGTTATTCTTGTTTCAAGAAATTACAGATTTGAAGAAATCCCAGTACAGATTTTATAGATTTTAAGAAATTACAATATTTATTAATAATAAAAACAAGAATAACCTCATTCCTTTTCATCCTTCCGATGGTCCCATACCATCTTACGATTCTTGAAAATTTTCATTAGTTTGGTTTTACTTTGAAAATTCGAGGAACAATAAAGGGCAAAATTTGGCATTTTATTCTTTTCTATTAGTACTTAACGAAGATTTCAGTTATCATAAAACTTAGGAGTATTTTAAGACAATATGTAAATAATACGGRTATAGTTTATCAATTTCCTAAACCAAAGAAGTACTTTAAGAAATTTGCCTTTTTGAAAACTAATAACAAAAACATCCGATAGTGATTGTCAATGACCAATGTCTATCTAAAGGAAACACTCTACCTAAAAGCTTATAGGTGAGGTCCTTCAATAGGTTTTTATTATCTAATATGCTCCCTCACACAAAAATCCCTTTAAGATTAATTGTGGAAAAATACAAGCACCTATGCCTTATGGTGAAATTTAATTAATTATAATATGGGTGATGAAAATCAAATAATAAACCTATTGATAAGAAGGGCTCTTACACCATTTTATTAAAAGCTCAAACTATTAAATAAGGTCCCTGTTTTTCATTCACCAAGAATTCAATTATGTGTGAAAAAAAGTAATAAAAATGTTAATTTTGGATTATTGAAATTAAATTAAAAAGATTTTTTTGGAGGGTTGGTGAATGAAGTTGGTGTTTGTAATTGTGAGGGCATGATAGCATCATGTTCATGGCCCGGTGGTCGAGATGGTGATTCACGAAACTCGAATTCGTGCCTCATTGAAGCATTGAAACCCTAACCCGATTTCACCCAAACAAACCTACCAAGACTTAAAATTTATAATATAATGTATCTAAAGTTTGAAAAATGTATTTTTAATAAATCATCACAAGTTCAAGTTTCATATAATTTGTATTTTTAATATTTTCTGGGCTTCAAAAAAGTATTTTTTTTTTCACTATTCGGTTGCAGTCCGAATTCGATTCGAATGCAATATAAATCCCGTGGACAAAGATCCGATTCGAATACAACGAATCAAATTTGAACTCGATCCTACTTATTTTGCAAGTTCCAACCCTACCTTTTTTTGTATTTTCTTTCGGACATCTGCGCGCTTTTTTACGTCGGTCTCCAGAGGATTCTAATTRCAAATTAGGCTGCGTTTGTTTATGATACAAACACCGAATCTGAATATTTATTGAGTCATTGGAGCATAAGATAGTTAGAGCAGTTAATAATGACTCCACACCTTTGCACCGATTTCAAACCAAATACGATGAATGCAAAAACGGTTTAAAACGTGAACCGTATTTGCATTCGTGAATCGAAAAATGGGTCAATATATAATGTACATATTTGCGTTGCATTGCAAACAAACGCAGCTTACGAACAGAGCGGGGAGAGACAAAGACGAACCGTAGTCTGTAGCGGTGTAGCCTAGCATCTGCGATCGTGTTCGAGTGTTTCTAGGGTTCCATCATTTTTGTTATATTATCTGGGAGTTGAACAATGGCGCCTGATGCTTCTGCAGCTCTCGCAGGTTCAACTTAAACGAAAAGGAAAATAAATTCGGAAGTTTCAGTTCCGTCACTTACTTTCTATATCGCTTCCACACATTGGAACTGATTCGATTTTTTTTGTTTTCTTTTGTTTTGTCTTATTGATCTTAGAGAGGCAGAAGGTTCAGCAGTTCCTTAATGCTGCCCGCACTGGCAACCTCGACCTCTTCAAGAGTAAGTTGCATTTTTTTTTATTGAGCTCGATTTTCACGATATATTTACTTCTATGTATGTGTTTCTTTGTATTGTTTGAAGTTCACTTTTCGTTTTTGATTTTTTCCGCTTTACTTTATCAGAACTGGCGGCGCAGCTTGACAAAGGGCATGGATTAGCGAAAACTGTAGCAAGTGTCAAGGACGCGAATAAACGAGGAGCTATTCACTTTGCTGCGAGAGAGGGGAAGACTGAGATCTGCAAGTACTTGTTGGAAGAATTGAAGCTCGATGTTGATACAAAAGATGAAGATGGTATGCATTCAATTTTTCCTTTTTTCCCTTTGCAGCTACTCCCTTTCTTTCGTGAACTTTTGGTTTTTTATTATCGGAGATGAAATAGTTTATCTTGGTACCGCACACGCAGATACACAGGCATACGCAATAAGAAAAGGGAAGAATTCTTTTTATTTACAACGACTGACATTTGCCTTCACTGAAACATAAAATGCTGGTTTTGGATATACTTGAATTGGGTCATATTCTGCCGAAGGAAGTTTGTTAAACTGAATTTCAACCTTGTTCACTAAATTGCACTTTCGTGATAGAAGAGGCTTTTGTTTGGTATTTGAATTGTTTATATGAAGTTTTATTGCTGAGGTGGTCTTAATTGTCAAAAATCAAAATTTTCCCCAAGAGAATGGTTCGTACGTCAAATGGAGAATAAGTGCTCACTGTGAAGTGTACCTAAAATTTTCAATTGTATGGGAATTAATATTTACTGCATTCAAGCTTAGTTTGATCCTCTATCCCAGAGGTCCCTGTGTTTCCATTTTCCAAAGGAAATTATGTCTTCTGTTGAAGTTTTAATTTGATTCCCTCACTCTTCGATGGAACCCATTGAGCTAGAATTGTAGTTCTCATTGTTGAAGAAGCTACCGCTATTCTCCATTATCTAATAATGTCATCCCTTGAGCTCATTTTTCCAACAGTAGTTGTAGTCCCGTAGTTTTAGGGTAGGAAGCATGAAATAGAAATGTTTTATTTTTCTTATCCTTATATCCCTGTAACTTAGGAACATGGAACACGGAAACTGGACTGCTAGTACTTCTCCAAAAAGTGAAGCGCAGGGGTTCCCTGTCGGGATCCCGAGTGGGATGACATAAGGCTGCTCAACCATGTTGGAAATACCAGGAAAAATACAGGCATTAGTTTTTACTGTAACTGGGAACTCGGGAATGGAATCATGGCTAAGTCCCCGTAGGCCCACTTAGTGACTCATATTGTCTTTCAGCTCTTCCAGCCATCTTCTAGCAGCGACCAAAACCTTCTCTGGGTCTGCCTTAGGCAGTCTGGCCTTTTTTGCTAATTGGCCTGCTTCTTTATTGAGCTTTTGTAGGACTCCTATCTCTAAAGGGGGCCCAATCTATTTCGGTTCCTTTTTGGGAAAAATCATCCACTGAAAATGCATTAAATACACTTAGGATCTTGACCCAGTGTACCACTTTACAGTTACACTTTSTTTTATATTTTTCTTACCCTGACTTTGCTATTTGTTCTTTACCATTTTTAGTTTCCTGTAAAGCATTATCTTGGAGCTGTTTTCCTTTTTATTTTATTTTTTCTTTCTTGGTCACTCTTACTTTTTTCATAATAAGTTATTTGAATGAGTTGTCCCATTAAGGATTTTATAATTAACAATGTAAGGTTCATTATCCCTTTTCAGGTGAGACTCCTCTTCTTCATGCTGCTCGTCAAGGGCATACTGCCATTGCCAAGTATCTTGTTGAGCATGGTGCTGATCCCTCCATTTCAAGTGATCTAGGAGCCACTGCTTTGCATCAGGCTGCTGGAACAGGTTTTTTTTTTTTTTTTTTTCTTTTTCTAATGAGATATGCCAACTGAACGAGTTTGGATTGATTTGTAGCAAATAACAGTCCAAGTATATTTGTGTGTTGCAGTCTTGTAGTACCGATTTCATGGTCAATATCTTTGCTACAACATTGCCATAATTTGTAGTGGAAAAATATTATAACCACTACTGATCTATAAAATATTATATAACTGCATGCAGGACGTAGTATATTGTATGGTTTCTTATTTTTTGTTTGCAGAAATTTGTGCCACTTGAAGAATGACATTAAATGTGTTGAATGTTTCTTGGGTCTTAAAACAAACTTGGGAAGATCAGTTTAGTTGTCATAAATCTTGGAGATGGGGAGATAAAGTCTTTGCCAGTACCTTCATACAAGAGCTTTCAGTGGCAACTGAAGTATTGTCACCACCCCCTTTGAAGTAACACTTGGCCCTTGGAATTTTGGAATTCTTGGTGGGTGTCACTTGAAGAATGACATTAGATATGTTGAATGTTTCTTGGGTCTTAAAACAAACTTGGGAAGATCAGTTTAGCTGTCATAAACCTTGGAGTTGGGGAGATAAAGTCTTTGCCAGTACCTTGGGGTACAAAAGCTTTGAATGGCCACTGAACTACTGTCACCACCCCCTTTGAGGCAACGCTAGGTCCTTGGAATTTTGGAATCCTTGGTAGGGGACGATAAGATGAAATACATGGTCTTTTGAAAATAGATGAGTTGCGCTGATTGTGGGGGGAAGAGTGGGGTGTTGAGATCTGAATAGATGGAAGGGAAAGGATATTGGTATTTTTAGAGAAGGTTTCAGATCTCAAACAAAGACACAGTGTCTTTTTTTTTGCATAGTTAATTAGGGAGAAGAAAATATCAGAGAGCTAGAAAAGAAATAAAACAAGTCTAAAGAATTCCCTAGCAGCATTCACATTTCTCTCCCCATGGATCCATTTATATATAAAYCTCATTATCAAAGTTAAACAATCCAATACTTGCTGCTAAATAGACTCTTGTTATGAATTACAAAAGGTCTACAACTCTATATAACCGAAACCAGTGTTACATGGACTTTTCTCAGTGGATGAAGAATCTCATGGTACACGGAGACGAGGTTTTTGAATGACAGATCCACATATCTTTTTCTTTCCCCGTTGTACTCTTGTTTGACATAATTGACATCTAGGTACCATTCAGAAAATGATAATTGACATGTAGGGTATATTCTGATTTCCATGATTCCATCTTTTTGTAAAAAATATCATAGATGGTAAAGATGCAAACTTCTATTTGTCTTTTTCTATAGATTTATGAATTTTGAAATCCATAAAGATCTTCTATTGTTGACAGAATACTTTTTCCCTCCTGAATCCCTGACTCCATGTTCCTTCATAGCTTCAGCTTACTTAAGTCAGATTCCATGTACTTGTTGGATTTCAACTCCTGTCTTTATTTCCATGCAATGCCAACAAAAATCTTTACCAAATATAAGCAGATTTTTACTAGTTATAAAAGTCAAAACATTTAAAAAATTAAAGATGTTTCTTGTCCACAACTAAGTTTGTGAAACTGCATATACATGTTGGCATGATAGACCTTAGCCATTACTTAGTTACAACACAAAATGGATCATATCAAAGAGCTTATATTACATTGATTATTGTAATATAAAATAATGCTCATGGATGCATTACATCTACACCATTGTTTTAATTATATAGATCTTTGTCTTGGTTAATAGCACTAGAAGTTTTCATTGGGGAAACTTGGACTCTAGGGCTCTTCCAAGATTGACCTCTAACCATTGGCCTATAGTGAATGCAAGGAGGAAAGGAGGAATGGTGGACCTGCCCCCTTTAGGTTTGAGAATATGTGGTTGCTCCATCCTGGATTCACTAAAAGAGTAAGGGAGTGGTGGTATGAATGTAACCCAATGGTGGAGTGGGAAGGAATGAGGTTCCATAGGAAGCTACAATTCTTGAAAGCAAAGATCAAGGAGTGGAACCAAGTGGAGTTTGGAAGGATTGAAAAAAGGAAGAGAACTTTGATGGATAAGATCGAGAGCCTCGACTTGAAAGAAGAAAGGGGGGACTTTGGAGAGGTAGACAAGGAACAAAGAGGAGGATTGAGAAGTCAGCTTGAGGACTGCCTACATAAGGAGGAAATCAGCTGGAGGCAAAAATTTAGGTGTAAATGGCTACAAGAGGGAGATAGAAATACCAGATTCTTTCATGCTCTGGMAAATGGGAGGAGAAGGAGAAACTCTATCTCCAAACTGGAGATAGATGGAGTTGAGATAACACAACATGATGAGATTGCAAGAGCCTTTGTGGGACACTTCAAATCAATTCTAAGGAGGCTTGTAAGTAGGCGGGTATGGTTAGAAGGATTGGATTGGCCAGATATAGATGATAACAAGAGAATGTTGGAGAGAAGGTTTGATTTGGAAGAGATTAAGGAGGCTGTTTTCTCTATGGATAGAACAAAAGCTCCAAGACCGGATGGTTTCATAATGGCCTTCTACCAAGACTGTTGGGATACGGTGAAAGATGACCTTTTGTTAGATTTTGAGGAATTTCATAGGAGAGGAGTGGTTAACCCGGGTGTGAATTCCACCTTTCTAGCCTTGATCCCAAAAAAGAAAGACACATTGCACCCAAAGGATTTCAGGCCAATCAATTTGGTGAACAACTTGTATAAGTTCCTTGCAAAGGTGTTGTCTCTAAGGTTGAAGGAAGTGTTGCCAACTATTATCTCACCAAATCAAGGAGTGTTTGTGAGTGGAAGACAAATAATAGATCAAATCCTAATTGCTAATGAGAGTGTGGAGCATTTCAGGAAAATAGGAAGAAAGGAGTGGTTTGTAAGTTGGATTTGGAAAAAGCCTATGACTTGGTCGAATGGGAATTCTTGAGGAAAATTATGACCAAAATTGGATTTGGGGCTAGATGGTGCAAATGGATCATGGGGTGTGTTCATAATTGTCACTACTTGGTACTAGTGAATGGGATAGTGGTTGACTTCTTCCCGACCATTAGGGGTGTAAGACAAGGAGACCCTCTATCTCCCTTCCTGTTCACATTGATTGCTGATGTTCTGGGGAAACTAATTTACAGAGCAGATTCTAGGGGTCTTATTATAGGCTGGAGAGTTGGAAGGGAGGATACCCCCTCGCCCACTTACAGTTTGCAGATGACACGATTCTGTTCTGTGAAGGGGGAAATATGAGGTATATAAGGAGTTTGAAATTGCTGATACAACTCTTTGAACAAATGTCAAATTTGAAGGTGAAATTCGAGAAAAGTTGTGTAGTAGGTGTGAATATAGAGGAAGGTGAAATCAGGGAGACTGCAGAAGTGCGTGGGTGCGAAGTCTCAAAGTGGCCTTTGAAGTATTTGGGGTTACCATTGGGTGATAACCCAAAGAGAGAGCTTCTGGAATTTGGTGGTGGAGAGTTTTGAAAAGAAACTTGACTCTTGGAAAAGGAATTACCTTTCTATGGGTGGGAAGATAACACTGATTTAGGCTACTCTAGCAAATTTACCTATTTATTTCCTTTCAGTGTTCAAGATCCTGGCAAAGGTTGCCAATAGATTGGAAAAGATGATGAGAGACTTTTTTTGGGAGCTGAGAGAGGAGAAAAGGGATCATAGAGTAGCTTGGAAGGTGGTGACTAGGAGTAAAATTTGTGGTGGTTTGGGGCTCGGGAACATTAGAAATAGGAATTTGGCCCTTTTGGGGAAATGGTTGTGGAGATTCCCACTAGAGAAGAAGTTATGGGTCAAGATAGTGGTCAGCATACATGGGCTGGAGCTAAATGGATGGGATGCTGGAATCCGAGTTAGGACTACATGTGTTTCACCTTGGAAAGCCATTCATGAATTGTTACCAGTTTTCTCCCCTCTTATCAGGTATGACTTGAATTCAGGAAATGCTATAAAATGCTGGGAACAAACTTGGGTGGGGGATGCTCCTCTAAAGGACCAGTTTCCCTCTTTGTATGCACTCTCTAACCTTAAAAACGAGCCAGTTTCATCCTTCATATCCCCCTCCTCTTTCACTTCTGGGTTTGGGTGGAATTTGGGCTTGAGAAGGGCTGTGAGAGACTCAGACCTTGATAGCATCTCAAGTCTTCTTCAACTTCTTGACAATGTTTTCTTAGACCCTGCTAAGGTGACTCTAGAATTTGGACTCCTACCACCAATGATTCTTTCTCCTGTGCCTCTTTCTTCAAAGTTTTAAGCCAGGCCACCAGTCATGTAGCCCTCCCTTTTCCTGTTCATGAGGTTTGGTGCAGATCAATCCCTCCTAGGGTTGGTAGTTTTTGCTGGGAAGCCTTTCTGGAAAGATTCAACATTGGTGATCTGCTCCAGAAGAAGAGACCCAATACTTGTTTGTCCCCCCACTGATGTGTTCTTTGTAAAGCTCTGATGGGGAGACATGTTTTCACCTACTGGTGTCTTGCCAATATGCAAAGCCTATTTGGGAGTGGGCTCTTTCCCTATTCGGGTGTAGTTGGAACCCTCCATCAAACATGCAATTTCTGTTTTCTCCTTCTTTTTTTAGGTGGGACATGAAAAGGGGTAGGATTATGTGGAGGGGTCTGAGGGTTGCGGTTTGTTGGTCCTTATGGGAAGAAAGAAATGCTAGGATTTTCTCGGAAGTTGAGAAAAGCGTTGATCCTTATAAGGGTGGTATAGTGGATGAAATCATTAGAGCTATTCACAGATTATACAATGGATGACATGTTGAGGAATTGGGGTGCGATTGCTAGTAGTACCCAGACCAAAACAGTGATGAATGTGTCGTGGACTCCTCCCCCTGTGGGTTTCATAAAACTAAACTTTGATGGGAGCTGCAGAGGAAATCCTGGACAATCAGGGGTTGGGGGTGTCTTCAGGGATGAGAATGGGGTTGTTTCTGCCATGTTCTCAGGCCCAATTGGAGTGGGTGACTCTCTCCGAGCCGAGATCCATGCGGTTATGGAAGGAATCCAGAAAACCAAGGAGATGAATATCAGAAAACTTGTAATTGAAGGGGACTCGGAGGTGGTAGTTGGGTGGTTAAGTAAAGACCATAGCGGCTTATSGAATTACAACAATATGAGGAGGAAATTTAGATGGTTGGCTCGAGGAATGGAGGTTAAAATTAGCTGGATTAAAAGATCAGCTAATTCTTTTGTTGATGGGTTAGCTAAACAAGGGGTGGAGAGGGAGTCAATGTTTTGGGCACAACTGTAATTATTTTTTTTGTTTCTTCTTATCTTTCTTTTTTCCTTCTTTTGGGGCTAAAGGTATAGCTGGAGGATAAGAAAGTTTGTCTTCCTCTTTGTAATTATCATTGAAAAGTTTTAATGAAATTAATGAAGTGTGTTATTGATCAAACAAAAAAAAATTGTCTTGGTTAATAGCACTCTGCTGCACTTTTATATTGATTACTTCTAAGTATGTTGGGTTGTCAGTTTCTTGCATTACTCTTCATGTTGTAGCACATTAGTTGTTTACTTAGAATACGGGCCAATGTCTTAAAAACTATCCTGGGCTTTGACCTGCTCAGCTGACTGGGTCAACTGGTTCAACAGGACAATTCACCTATTCTAACGATCAAAACCATCAAAAACCCAGAACCTGTTCAGCTGCCTGGCTAATTGGTTCAATCATTTGGGTCAATGACATTTTGAAAACATTGGCACAAGCCCCCCTTTGAGTTCAGGAACTCCATGTATTCTAAATTATGCATGTGTTGGCTAAACTATTCTAAGTGCAGTGTATTCCTTGTAGTCATATGAAGAGTTGCTGGTACTCTACTCCAGGAAATTGAAACTCATTTAGTGACATAATGTAATTAGCATTTTCAATTTATTTTCTTCTCATCATTTTCATTATTTTTTAGGAAATATTGAGCTGCTGAGGCTTTTACTCTCTAAGGGGGTTGATATAAATTCACAAAGTGATGCTGGTACCCCATTGATTTGGGCTGCTGGGCATGGTCAACAAGATTCTGTGAAGGTTTTATTAGAACACCATGCTGATGTAAGCTAGAAACCCTCGTTACTTAACACTGTCTCTTTATTCCTGGATACTCTGTAGTGTCTTACAAATTCAATTGGCACAGTAAACTTAAGTCTGACACTGTGGTATACAACATGAAAAAACATTTACTGTTGTACAATTTCTTCTGTTAATTGTGAACCTTGGTTTCTCTTCTTGTAATAATCACCAATGTTTTCTTATTCTGGTTCCTTTCTCCCTTTTGTTTTCTTTTTACTGCCTTGCAGCCTAATGCTGAAACTGATGATGGCATTACCCCATTACTGTCATCTGTAGCAGCTGGGTCACTATCATGCTTGGAACTGTTGATTCAGGTGAGCTCAACTCTTGGTCTTCCAATACTTATGGTTAACTATTCTGGTTAATTTAGGTTAGCATGTAGTAAAGTTGTCTGGTTTCCTGTTACTATTGATCTATGATGCCCTAACTAAATGTATGAAATCCTGTTATTATTGATCTATGATGCCCTAAATGTCTTTTCAGATTCTGATAGATGATTATACGCTTATTTGTTAAATCCTTGGTTTTATTTATTTTATTTATTGCTAGTACAATCTGTCCCTCTTCTTTTTCCTCCTTATCTTGCTACATCTGTCTCTTGGCCTTTTACATTGTTTCCTTTTCATTTTTAACTACCCTTATGGTTTAGCTAATTGACTAACTCTACCCTTACTGTTTACMTATTATCTTAAAGTACCCCTACTATTTCTGACAATTGACATTGTCAGTAAGTGCTAACGAAAAGAAATGAAATGTCGAATTTGCCCTCCACTATTTTTCAAATTTTCAAAATAAAACCCAACCGATAAAAATTTGCCCCCCCCCTCTTCTTGGTGAATGTGTTTACTGATGTACAGTTAGCAATGATGAGGATGCAGAGAACAACTGAAATAGAGATCATGAACAACAATTAGCGACGATCCGGTTAACATTTGCATAAGGGTAAATTTCTTAAATTACCCCTACTGTTTAGCTAATTGACAAACTGTACCCTTATTGTTTAACTATTGTCTTAAACCATCGTTACTGTTCCTGACAATTGACTAGCTCTACCCCTGTCGTTAGCATCCGTTAATGTTCTGTCAAAACCCATACACATGTGAAACCACATGATGTATCATTTTTTTTTAAATCCAATTTTACCCTTCGTTCCTCTCCCTTTCCTTCTCCTCCTCCTCCTTCACTGTTTTCTTTCAGTAGCGGCAAACTGAACTCTTCACACATTGTCAAAGGTTTGACAGGATAAATCTTGCATCTACAATAGGTTTGGCTGTTGGGACGAATACTGGCAATTGGCAAAGGGGATCCTGACTGAGTTGGAGATAGCGAGCCCGAATCCGACCTAAATTTGGACGATTGTATTAAGTGGAATCGAAGCCAGAAAACTGAACACCTGGCACATGGTGTAGATTCAAATGGGTGCCYTTCAACTGGCAAGGGGGAGAACGGAAGCAGGGAGAGAACGAGAGAGGCGTAACATTCGGAGGTCGTGAGCCTTCTCATTACCCTCACCACTCAAGATAGCAGCCTGGACAGTAGCACCATAAGTAGCGGCTCATCAAGGTTGATACTCTTGCAGAGCTCCTTCCCGTTAAAAAAGTCTTGCAAGGCTGCAATAGTTGCTGGACCTTGGGATCTTGGCTTGACGCTAAGAGCCGTTGAAGTAGACGGGGATGAAAATCTGGAGAAGCCCTAGATATGGCAGGAGGATCCATGTGAAATCAAAGGTATTATAAACCGGTATAAGGGTCTCAGTGAAGGAGACAACCAGGGCGGAAAACAGGAATAAAAAATTCCATAGACTATCAGATGGATGGGTTTTCGTTGGAGATAACTGGTGAAGTGGCAACACGGAGCTGTCATTGGGTTTAACTAGGAGTGATGACTGATCCGAGATTGGTAGCGACAAAGATACCCCAACCGTTTCACGGAAAATACAAGAACTCAACGTTGTTGTGTTCTGGTTTGATTGGGAGTGGTCACATGAAGCTCCAATTGTGTATGCAGTCTATACTGAAGGATTTGAATGAAAGGAAATGGAAGAAATGACTTCATCCGAAGGAAACAGAGTTGAAGACTGAATTTATCTCTAAAGCATAGCAACAAAACTGCTTGTTGATCCATTGAAGCTAATCGCAAACTGTAGCCACCAATCGTCTTTGACGTTCTTGCTGATTCAGAGAAAGCAGAGCATATGGTCTCGCTCCTGGTCTCAGTGATAAAAGGGTATTTTAGAAGGATTAGTGAATCTCCTACTGATCAGACGCTTTGCATCGAAAACAGTGTTGGTCGGGTTCATAGCAACATGAACCACTGAATCTCCGATCAACTGCTCGGTGTCTGTAAAGGCAATGTAGGATGGAGTGGTCCTGTTTTCTTGATCATTAGCTATAATCTCAACACGATCGTGTTGCCATTGCCAGACCTTCACCCTTAGCAGCCATTCTTCTCGTAAGAACTGATTAAGGAACGGAAAAACACAAATTATAGACTACACAGAAAGGAAAAACTAAAGATTGCACTAGGGTTGGATGATTCCGTTCAGTGGCAGTGATTCGTTTACATTCAGGGTCGTGATTCCGTTCTTTGCTCGATGAATGTAGCCAGAGGTAGCTGCAGCAATGACTCCGTCGGTTGATGTTGTCTAACCACAGGTTGTTTGAATAGATTGACAATGTTTCATTTTGAAAATTTAAAGGAGAATAATGGGTAAAGTAGCCTTTTTCATCTTTCTGTTAACGGTCGTTAATGACAAGGAGGTTTTAGTCATGTCAGAAAACATAAGGGTACTCTAAGACAATATATAAACAGTAAGGGTAGAGTTAGTCAATTAGTTAAACAGTAAGGGTAGTTTAAGAAATTTATCCTTTGCATAAACTCTAGCACTTGGAAAAAAAAAGACTAAAAGAAAGACAAATCCGCTACTGTTACAAATACAAAGAAAAACATTAAAAGGCTGTTGCTGGCACAATAAAGAAAAACATGTGGTGTAACGTTAAACAAAATAACGGCTGTGGCTGTTACAGCAAATTTTGCCGGATTCGGTGAACCAATGTCTGAGAACTAGTGTGATTTCTCCTCTATAGATGGCAGAATTTTGAAACTCGGTGTCTGAGAAAACTGGAGGTTCCACCGTCGTCGGTGCCGCACCGGTTCTGGGAAATATGGAGGATTAGCCAACATCGGAGAAATGCTAAAATCTGACCAGCCGCCCACAAATTGGTCGGATTCCAAGTTCATATGGGGAAAAGTGATAGTAAAGAAACCATCTCTTGTTGGTATTGGATGTGATATACCGAAGATCACTCCCGAACTATTGCTGTAAATCTCTGCATTGTTGACCTTAATGCTGTTAAAGGAGCGAACTACAATCTCCTTTCCTGGAACCAGAGTCTTGATCTTTGACCCATTCGGTAGACTCTTAAGATTGGACAAATGGAGAAGCTGAGGTACTGCAATGGAAATCGTAACAAAAACCGATAGTGAGGGTGAAAAGACTCTCGTCACTAGGTGCAAAGACGGTGACACCCGTTAGATTCATTAGATCTTACTGTTGCATAGCCATTGACATTGCTACTATGCTGTAATCTCTACTTCTCAAAACCTTAACTGCATCATCAAGAAACGAATCATCATCAACCTTCGAGTACAGAGGAGGCAACACCTGTCAAATGAGCATCTAGAAATGTATGACACTTGGACCCAAAGGAGTATAGCATCAACCCCATGAATTGTGAAATTCTCTTGGACGTTGAGATTAGGCTATCGGATTAAAGAAGATGTTAATTCCTTTGGCTTTTCTAGGGAATAGAAGCAAAGGTGGTGCGGTGGCTGGGATGGCGGAGGGTATAAAGGGTGCGCCATCCCTAGTGTTATACAATGGAAAAGTGGGAGGGAGAAGAGTTCTTCTGGAATTTCTATCATTTCCGGGAACAGTGGAAACAGAAATAGTGTGTCATCTCTAGGACGGGCAAACAATGGAAAAGCGGAAATAGTCGGTGAATTTCAACCGTTTCGGGATACGAACTATGATGTCTTCTAGAATTTCCACCCAGTTGGCCATGGAACAGGGAGGGAGAAGGTAGAGCTCTAGGTTAAAGACGATGAATAGGTTACAGGATGGGTGTTTTAGGAATTTTAACCATTTAACATTTTTATTATTTAATTCATTTTATTGAATAATTAATTAGATTAATAATAAAATCCTTATTTATTTATTCATTAATTACTTAGTTAATTAATTATTAAGTACTTATTGTTAATTATTAATTAGTTAATACTGGTTTTTATTATTTAGTATTTTATTTACAATTATATATTAATTATTTAAAATTCATAATTAGTTAATTATTTTAATTAATCAATGTTTTACATGGTTTTCAAAATCGGATCGGAAAAACCGGGAACCGGTCAGGTGACCGGTTCCGTTTTCCCTAAAAACCGGATTCCCCCCCAAAATCGTTGATTTTGGTCAGCGAACCATTGAACCGGGCGGTTAAYCGTTCGAACGGTTTTGACCGTTTTTTATTTTCTTTTATTTTTTTTGATTTTTTTGATTTTTCTGTCAGAACGGGCCGAGCGTTTGGTTCGAATGGTCGGACCGTTCGACCCGGTATCTGAACCCCTGACCGGTTCGGTCACCGGGTCGGTTTTAAAACATTAATATTATTAGTTTATAAGTTATTGTTACTACTATATGTTATTAATACCCATGACTTAATTAATAATTTTACTATTCCAATATTCGTTATTCATAAATTATTAAATTATTTCTTTGAATTTATTTTAATGAAATTGTTGATTAGAAAATAATTATTTAATGATTAATTAATTTATTAATTATTAATAAATTAATAATATTTTTATGATTTATTATTTTATTGTGAAATATTAATTAGTTAATTAATTATTAACATTAATTAATATTTTGATTTTATTAGTTTATATTTTATTTTATTAATACTTATGACTTGATTAATAATTTTAATATTTTATTTAAAAATATAATTAATTAATTTATTAATATTCTTATTAATTATTTATTTTATGTAATTGATTGATTTTTAAGTAAATTATTTTATTAATATGTTATTAAGTAATTGATAATTTATTTATGGGTCATGGATATAATATTAACTTTTAGAAATACTACAAGGAAGGTGCTTTTTTAGGTTAAATTAGTTTTCCCCCTACATTCCCTCTTGTTTCCCACCAAAATGGTGGGACTCCACATCCCAAGAATTGGGATCTATAATCCCACCTTTTCCCCATCTGATCCCATGACATCCCATAATCGAAGCATGGGAAGAGAGGAATATTCTAGAATATTCCATATTTTCCCTTCCCGTCCCATAAACCAAATGGAGCCTTAGGGATATACTTTATTAATGAGTTGGGTTATTTTTGACATTTGTTAATAAGTTGGCTATGTGTGAAGATTGAAAAAGAAAAATTTCCTGTACACACAAGAACTCCATTACTAGTTAGTTATGACTACATGTCCAGTCTTTGAGGGTTGATAATAAAAATCTATACATATCAAATGGTCTAGCCTGTCTTTTGCAAATTGCAAGTGACGCATTGATCCWCCTCCTCAAAGGTTCAATTTTTGGTTCCACTGGTTCAATCAGCTGCACCTGGATGTTTAAGTCTTAGTTTCTATTCTGGAGTTGAACCAGGTCATGCCAAATGAAATGTTTCATATTCTATCAGGCTACCATGCATTCTTTTATCAGTAACAAGACCAAGAAGTTTTATTAATGGATATTTAGACATAATTGGTTACAATTCCTAACCCAAAAGAAAAGGGGATGGATGCTCTTAGTAACACGCAAAACTAATCATATGTAAATCATGCAATGCGATAATACAGGTTTCTCCATGATGGTGGTTCCCTAATACAAAATACTCTTCCTTATCCTTTGGTGTAACTATTTCTTTTTGGATTAGTAACAGTGTGCTGGTAGGTTATCAACTAGTATGGGTGTAATGTCTGCTGAATTTTGATCTTTTGTGARCTGATTTATCATGCAAAAATGTTTATATTGTATAAATAAGATCGAAGGGAAGAGAATTGACAGGCTGGAGGAACAAGTTCTATAGGAAACCTAAACAGCAGCCATATATGAAAAAATGATGATTTTATTATAGAGAATTTGGAGAGAAAAGGAGAAGAAAGTGCATAGGGATATGTGGAGAAGTGTTGAGAGAGAGAGAGAGAGATGTGGCAAGATGAAAGAGCACAGACTCATGGACATCCCTAGAATCAGCATTTACTGTTAAAAGTATCTTTATATTGTAAGGTCTATCATAATATACTTGAAGATGAAAGTAATTCTAAAATCTTATCTTTATTACCTTGAAACATTGTATATGAAAGGATGGACTCCATTAATCATTTATGGCAAATAAGAAAACTCCTTAAACCTAGAAACCCATGTGCCCAAAATTGTCCCAATTAGAATAACCTTTCAGCCTCAGAGCAATGTCTCCCACTTTAATCACCCCTTCTATTTTTTTGATAATTAAGGTAAAATTTTATTTACAAATAGAGACAGGCAGGAAGCTCATGTACAAAAAGGCAGAGATGAGATTTTGCACATTTACACAATCTACAACTCTCCACTCTAAAGAATCAATGATGATAGCATCCCACCTGTTTCGAAAATGTGAAAATTGATAGCCATCAAATTCCCCCAAAATGGAAACCCAACTACCCAAGAACAAATGTTTCTTTCAATGATTCCAATCACTCTCTCAGGCTCATGCCTCTTCCCCTAAAACATCATTTAATTCCTTTCTTTCCGTATCCACTAGCTGATTCCTTTTGTGGCATTTGCTGATGTTTCAGCCAACTTCATAGTTGTTTCTATTTTTCTCTTCACATTACAATTTTCTTTACTACTTAATCCCTAGACTCTGTATTAACTTATAAAACCTAAGCCAGCTGATAAAATCCATAGTTCCCAATTACAAAAAGTTCCCAATTGCATTACTAGTAAAAAAGCTCCAAGTTGCATTTTTGAACAGTTYCAACTTTAATACATTCTCCTTGCTAATTGAACCCTAATTTACCCAAATTTCTTAGCTTTTTCTTACTGTTCCACACCAATTTATATTATCTTTTCTTATCTTTGTATTGTCTTCATTATATCTTTGATCATTAATAATATTCTATTCGCTGATTTCTACTGGTTATCAATTATATGAACCTTCATTGTAAGTTTTGATGTGTTCTATATTTTTTTTTTTCTGATTTCTACTAGTTAGCTATAATATTCTCGCCATTCCATTCTTATCTTAGCCTTTTTTATGCTGTTTTCTAATATGATCATATCCAACTCTGGTTGATGTGTTGATATGAAAACGAACATGTTTAATGGTAGAGTTTGTGTAATTTCTTGTTCATTTGTCTTCTGGTATTCATGGACATCACTATATGTGGTTGTAGCACTAACTTTGCATTTTCTTCTATATAGGGAGGGGCTAATGCAAATATTAGTGCAGGTGGGGCAACTCCTATGCACATAGCTGCTGATAATGGGAGCCCATATATTATCAATTGTTTGTTAAAGGCTGGAGCTGATCCTAATGTCACTGATGAGGTGAGATTTGAGACTATGATTTCTTGTGATCTATTTTTGCTATGTATATCCTTTTATTCACACATTATGCAAGTATGTCTTAGCTAAGTGTGCTATTGGTTTTGGTATATGACTTGTTTTCCAGCTTACTCTGGTAAATATGTTCTTCCTTTGCTCTTCTATTTCTTAGACATTTGTTTGGTATCTCAGTTTTATCTGTTCATATAGCATGCATATTCATTATGATCCAAGTAATCATGAGAGCTTAAAATGATTCAGCTACTTGTAAAACAAGTAATTATGAGGCCGATTCTAACTTTATCACAATTGAAGATCTACTAGGATTTAGGAAATGGTTACTTTCATCGAAGATAATTAAAACACAAACACAAAACATAAGAGATTAGAGAAATGGAGTTCGTGCAGGCAGGTCAGTGGAGGAGATCCTTGAAGATAGAAGCAAAAAATYTCCTGTTYGAAGAKRTGAGAATCAAGGGGAMGGTAAGCCTGAAGGTAAGGGAAGTGAAAAAGGGTACAATATTGCTGGAAGGATTAGAAGTGTGATCGAGTGGCTAAGAGAGTTCATAGCTGGAGCCTGTTCAAAAGGTAAGCAGATAAACTGGCAGGATTTTAGTACATTAGAAGGGAGAAGATATGTAATGTAAGAGGAATAGAAAGGGCTTCTTCATAGCTTTGGCCGAGTTTTTTGGTAAGGGACGAAGGCAACTGGTGTGTCTACCAGCAGGAAAATAGAGCCAAGGATGGGGGGAAGTTGACTGGTTGCTCAAAGAGTTTTTAGCTCAAAGAGTAGCAAATGATAAAAAAGCCTCCATAAGGRAGGAGAAGGCATATCTYARCAACARCAGGGTAGAACAAGGGCCAGTGGTCATGGCAAAAACAAAAGGCCAATGCAGAATGGTGGGAGGTCTAGAGAGAGA